AATTGTCTAGATAAAGTGAGATCAATAGGCACCTCATACGAACAACTTATGCAGTAGAACAACATGGACGGAGGGAGACCTTTGTAGACAGAGTTAACCAGTATGTAAAAATTGAAGTACAACTTAAGAATGTTTTTCACACAATCGAAGTGCAAGAACAACTCTAGTGAAAAAAAATTCCATGAAATGGATGATTAAGTGTATTACTTTGATACAAATATTCTTTATAATCAAGTAAAAATATCAGATTAAGTGTATTACTTTGATACAAATATTTTTTATAATCAAATAAAAGTATCAGATTAAGTGTTTTTGGCTTAATGGTTTCATGAAAGGTAAGAATGTTGTTGGTTACTTGAATTTGCTTCCAATAAAAGCTTGTTCAACCAAAACCATAAACAGTGAAGGAAAGGAATGCATGATTTTTTAAAAACTGAATTTGCCTAATTTGACCAAGGAATGTGCCTTTGAGAGGCTTCCCCACCAACTGGTCTTTGCAGTAAGGCTGTAGTTTGCAGTTCTTTGAGAGAAACAATACTTCCCTCTTGGAGATTTATTTAGGAAGTTTTCAGAAACTAAGCAGCTCTTATCTAACTATTAAAAAAGAAATGAAAGTGACAGCGAAGTTAGAGTTCTTCTACAATGAGGAAGTATCTTTATAGCTCGATATATCCAAGACGTTTTCAGCTCTTTTGTATAAATGCGTTGGACTAATGTTGCAGGTATCCAGCACATGGGAGGCAAATAACACAGAAAAACATAGATATATTTATAGCTCAATTTGATTAGTTTTAAAGATATATTGGTTGTTGTATAAAGTGATGCATTTAGCATTTGATTTTCTTTTCAAATGAAAAAGGATTACTTTAATTTAATGAGTAATTATTTCGTTTAACTTCAAGTGGCAAAATTGAACAATCAAATCAAGTGAACCTTAAATAAGAAAAGAATATGAATGATCTTGAATATCACCTCTTAAATTCTACTAAAATCTGTAGATGTTTTATGCCTAACTTGAATTAAACTTAGGTTTAACGGAATAAAACTTATAACATGAAGGGAGTATGGTGGTTTGATATGTTAAAACTAACAGTTTAGCATGTACGTGAAAGTTAGCTTCTATTAAACTACAAATGTTCGTCTAATCTTTTGTAAGCCTATACAGAGACAGCAACTGGAATGGCAAACGACGAAACCAAAAAGTTGCCAAATAAATTGACAGAGAAAAGTGGATAACAAAGGCAACACACCTGGTAGAAGAAGCAGAGTGAAGATATGGTGTAGATTGAAAAATGAAGCCAACAGAGAATAGGGAGAATACGACGAAGAGAGAAGGAAACCAGAGAATTAGATACAGACCCAGGCGGCTACTTCTTTGTTGTAACTGGCAACTTGACGCATTCTAGTCGTGAGAAGTCCATCAATGATACATGTGTAGAAGACCCGGTCTGTAGGTAGATCTCTACCCAATGCTCTTCTCAACAGAAGAGTCACAACAACCAGTTTATCATGACTACAGAAGTCAGCCAGGAAACTGGGGAGGTATGAGTGACTATCAGGGAGCACATTATCCGGAAAAAGAAAAGATATTAGTAAGTTGCATATGAGAGTTTCAAGACTATGCCCTGTTTTGTGCATCGTATATACTTTCATTGTTTTTGTCAACTGTTGTAGTTAGTATTTCATGATATCAAAATATATACCACTTTCATATATAAATCTTCTTCACCACATTGCTGTAATAAACTAATTGAGCACCACATTGTGATATGCACAGTAGAGAACTGACATATATATTTTTTAATTTTAAGTTAAATGGAGAAATGGACAATTACATCCAAGGATGATCAGACATAGGAACCATTAGCTCTTCATCATCCGCAAAAATGATCTCCTACTTATTTCGGGTGTGAAACTCTTCCTGAATTTCAAAAATCTCCTTAAGTTATTTTATGAGCTAATTATATCCGGTCAGTACAGTTAAATCCACTGCATGACCCATAGCTACCCCTTGTATTTGAACCTTCTTAAGGGATGAAAAATGTTTTGATTTTTATTGATATCTTTGAAGGCAGCGATAAGCACATAAATAGGTATTTACTTTGTCATTTAATTTTAATACCTTAGTGTGACTTTTGGTAGAACAAATCTGCTTACTGAAAACCTCATTTTATGATGAATGCAACTACCCTCGAATTGTTAATTTCTTTGAAATCCATGAGTTATGCAAGTTCAAATTCATTTTTCACCCGTAGATATTTGCATCCAAGTTCTTCGTGAAATATTTAAAAGAGACATAAACTGTTTTGTATGTTCAAAAGACTTGACGAAAATACAAAGTTATATTTTATGTTCAATCCTCATGCACAATATCAATTGTTTAATGTCTAAGTTAATATGAACTCAATCACTATCTGCCATTTCAAAAATCCAATGTAATTGCTTCAAAATAATGTGCCTTTGTAATTTTGTAACATTTATGATTAGTAATGTATATCAACAATTATACTACTTCAGTGCACGTAAAAATAACAAGCTCAAGCTATCACCAAATATTCAGTTTACCAAAAAAGACGGGGAAAAAACAAACAACACGCTCAAGAAATCCATCATTAGCTTCATTTACTTGATCTAAACACATCTCCCGGCGAAGGAAAATGGTAAAAAACTACTATTCATTCAAAAACAGAATTTCCATACACAAATTGTTCTTTAAGTAATGGATATAATTTACTCATTGCAATATACTTTCACTAACTGATTTTCTTCTATTCATGTACGGACATATTGAGTTAAGGCTCTATACAATATGAGCTTCTTCTACTAAAAGTAACCTATATTCCGTTGATCAACTATCCCCTGCATAATAGAAATTTGTTCCATATTTTTGTACACTGTAAAGAGTGTGAAAAGAGGAAGCTTGGTAGATTTAGAGTGTCTGATGAGGCTTAAAGTTCATTCCTTCAATTATTTTTCTTTACATTTAAATGCTTTTTTGCACGTTAAGGTGTACGATTGTGTTCTACTGCTAAGATTTAAGGTAACATTTACTACAAAACATGTGCGCTATCACATTATGAGATGCTCACTGAATGCTAGTCACCTTGTGTTATTTATTCATGAAGTAAAGCCACTTTAGTTTTTCTTGCACCACAGCTTTTTATCATTAATTTTCTCAATCATTGCTAAAGTTACATTAGTATGTATATCCATTTAATGCTTTAGCTTATATTTCCATTAGGTTACCTAAGATGTTGGTATTAAGCACTTGATTTTCCTCTGCAGATTTCTCCCGAAAGCAACATTACTGTGCCTGATTCACAAGATTCCTAGGCCCAAAAGCAGTAGGTTTTGGGTGGCAATTCAGGTTATAGAAAGCTTCAATATGTTGTCGTCCATTGTGGTATTTACTCATACTCGAAGCTAATTTTGGTCAGCCAAAGTCAACTGGGTGTAAGAGCTCCCTAACAGAGTCCACAAAGTTGGTAGTTTCTTTCGGGCAATTTCTCAAACACGTCTAATGCAAGTTCGGATGTAATATCTAAAATACAAACGCGAATCCGATCTTATTGCACTTTTAAAAGAGTTAAAACATATGAATATTAAGATTAAACCATGGAAAGAGCAAAGCGGAACATGCAAAGCGGAGGTGTAGCAGTATATCACCAATTAGCTTCAAATTTAAGACGAAAGCTTCCTAAATCTTATATGCCAGATTCAAAACAGCATAAGGAGACATTCTTCAAATTAAAAACCAATACAATCTTAAATCTAAATAACACTTATAATAAGAAAAGGTGGGGGAAACAAAGAATTTTTTTTTGGAAAAAGTCAGTTAAAATTGTAGAGGCAACTGACCTGGAGAGGGAAGAGCTAGAGAGACGAAGCAAAACGGTAGTAGAGCGAGTGCTCATCAGTTGCAAGTGTTAGCACGTGGCTTAGGCCAAAATATTTACAGTTTTACCAAAATGCCCTACTAAGCTGCTCAAACTGTCTCAGGAATTTTGCCCTTTTATGTTAAAAGACCAAAGTACCTCAAATTTAAAAGAGAGAAAGTGAGATTGACCAATATTTTCCCTTATCTTTGAGGGTAGGTCTATTTTGGTCCCTCAAATATTACATTGAGCATATTTAGTCTCTTAAGTTTGCTAAAGTGGAGCACCTTTATCTCACTGACACAATATGTTCAAAAACTAACGGAGTTACCCAACTCCGATTTATGAAGCAAATCTTCTGCTCTGAAGGAAAACGTTTCCTCTCCTTTTATTGGATAACACAAATTATCACTTTAATTCCTCATTTTTAGATAATGTCTTTTAAAATTTTGACCTTGAAAATATTCCCTTTTTGTGCCAGTTTTTAATGAGAAAATGACACTGTATAGCCGCTATAAAAATAATAACCGAAAAAATATATAAAAATTATATATAGACAAATTTTATATACTTTTTCCGCTACTAGATATAACTAGTTTCTGGCACGGGCTAAAAGTAATAATACCTCGGTTATTCGTTTGCTTCAATAATATGCCTAGAAGTGATCGTGACAGCTCTATTTTTTTTTTAAATNTATATATATATATATATATATATATATATATATACAAAAAATATATAAATTTTATTCATTTTTCGGCTATTAGTTTTACAGCAGCCATACAATGTCATTTTCTCGTTAAAAACTGGCATAGAAGGGGATATTTCAAGGTCAAAATTTCAGAAGACATTATCTAAAAAATGAGGAATTAAAGTGATAATTTGCATTATCCAATAAAAGGAGAGGAAACGTTTTGCTTCAGAGTAGAAGATTTGCTCCATGAATCAGAGTTAGGTAACACCTTTAGTTTTTGAACATATTGCGTCAGTGAGACTAAATGTGCTCCACTTTAGCATACTTAAGGGACTAAATATGCTCAAAATTATATTTAAAGTACCAAAATAGACCTATACAATATTGGTCAAAAACTCGAGAGAAAGTAGTAAGAGAGACTATTTATGTCCTTGCATCTTTTGCAGGGTTTAAGGAGCCAGGTGAGAAGAGATAATCAAGAGGGCAGCTGAAAACAGAGGCTCAATTTGGGGCGGAATGAATAAAGATTTCAACCACGGTTAGCTTACTTCTTCTTCATCTTTTTCTTTAACCCAAAGCTCGAGTTTCTCATCTCTTCAAATTTCTATCATGACTCTAATTTAGATTCCAGTTTTTCTCGATTTTTGATTCTATTTAATCACCTTTATCTTCTTCTTTTTTAAATCTTCGCGTTGCTTTGGTGCCCCCAGTATTTAATTGTTTATCAAAAGAAAAACTTTATTTCATGTTTGTGATTGCAGCTGCGCACGTTGCGGTATTGAAAATTATAATTTAAGATGTTGTAATCGAGGCCTGTAAAACGCTTCCCACTCTCGTCCCCTCTTTTTCTTTCTTTCCTTATTTTTTCTATCGTTTGATTTTTTTTTTCTTGTTGTTGTCTTTTCCCATAATTTTACTATTGAAAACGTGCGATTTGTGAATTCAATCTACCTACATTGCTGGCAGTTAATTTTGTCCTCACTTGATGAATTCAGATAGAGGAAAACCTCGAACTGCATCAGGTCCGCCTCGCACCATTAATGTGCACAAATTTGCTGAGTCTCGAGCTTCTGAACTTGAGTCTCTTCACTCAATTGTAAAAGAACGATTAAGTAATGATTTTAAATCTCAAAGAAGCAAGAGAAGACGAACAACTGGACATGACAATAGACTGGCAAAGAGTAGAGATAGAAAGAAGCAGAAAGCAGGAGAGGATAATGTAACTACCCCAGACCATTTGGAGAACGATAAGAAGAAACTTCCACGCCATGTTCGTAGGAAACTTGAACTTACAAAGAATTCTCTTGATGGCTTCTCAACTTCAGGAGATGGGACAAAGAGACTCAGAACTCACTTATGGCATGCTAAGCGTTTCACAATGACAAAACTTTGGGGATTCTACCTTCCCCTTGGTGTGCAGGGCAGGTAATAAGCTCTTAGCAATATGACCAAAGCGCAGCGACAAAGTTTTAACTTAATCGTAGTGCATTGAAAAGAACCATTTGTTATCTTGTGGTTAAATAATGATTCACTCTCCACAACAGAGAGAGAGAGAGAGGAGCACATTTGTTCAGTTTACATGGTTAAAAAATTTCCTATTGTATGCTTTCTATTGTGGGGGAGAAGGTCGTTGAATCTTAATATTTCATTAATTATGAATATATGATGCAGCGGGAGGGGCTCAAGAGCTCTTTTGAAGAAACTAAAGGGAGGAGTACTAGTCCATGATGCAAGTTATTGCAGTGCTGTGCAGTTGAAGGGTCCAGAGGCAGGCATTTACCTACTCTTTCTTGCCAAGCTTTACTTGATATTTGTTCTAACTTATTTCCGTTTGGTGACTGGCTTACTTTGAGACCCGTGGCATCTGATTAAATGAACATTTGTGTTACTTATCAAAAAAGAAAATAGATATTTGTGTTTATTTCTATCAATTATCTACCCAAACCTTGCAATTATGAGCCCAGAAAAAAGAAACAGTAGCAAGGAAATAGCGGTCTTCTGCTTGCTAGAGATTGTGCTTATAATGTGGCCATTCACATATTCTTCCAGGATTTGTTGCTGTCAATCCTAGAAACTGTGCTTGTGCCTTCTCCATGTTCACATTGTGAAGATGCTCGTTCTGACATACTCTCTGGTGCTATCAACGGTAGTGCTGAGGTGGGTGGTCCATCTTAGTATTTCATTTAGAGTGGTATTGCCTCCAAAATTTGCTTACTTGATATTTCTGTTTCTTTGGCAGCTCCATCATGCAGGAGCTGTTTTTTCTCAGACAATTGCTCCTGTAACCTATATGTGGCAACCACAACAGTGTAGGAATGCCGATACAAAGGTTGATCATTCCAATATATGTGGTGAACAACAGAAAATTGATGGCTGTTCTTCTTTAAGGCGGCTGTGGGTTTGGATACATGCTGCTGCCTTTAAAGAAGGATATAATGCTTTGCAAAATGCGTGTGAAAGGCAGGTTGAGTAAAGAATCATATGGTGTCCATTTCTAATAGCTCATATGTACTAGTCTCCTTATTAATTTCTCCGGTTTTAGATGTTACAGTGACATGATGATGGCTTTACACATATTCTTTTCTTGATTATAAATGCACATACTGTTCACAGAACATGTAGTTTACTTGCCTTTTCATGTTGCTGTTGTGTAGATCAGAAATATTGCTTCTTGATTTTCAGGTAGATGTAGCTGGCACTAGAGTTAGTTGCATTTCCCTTGAGAACCACCTTGGGAAGCTGGAAGTGATGGGATCAAGGGCATCTCAGCTTCTTCAAAAGATGTTACATCCTTCGACCTGGTGATACTATTGAAGACACAACCTTTCTATTTTAACTGAATTATGAGCATGTTAACTGAATATCGTTGTTGCGATGCAGTTCTTCAGTAAATTCTTCCCTAGTAAAGTATGCATCCTACATTGAGAATGATGATCAAATCCCATCTTCAGCAATCTTCTCTCTCTCTGTCCATGATCCTCGGTTTTTGGATAAAGATATTACTAATGCTTCGGAAGCAAAGGTTCAAGATACACTATCTTATAAGAAAGACGAGCGCGGAGGAAATGGAACTCCAAAAAGAGATATGAAGTTACTCCCGTGTTCGTTCTTAGAACCTGAAGGGAGTCATGGCTTATCTGAGTGTATTGATCTGTGGGATACTAAAAAGGACATAGATCCTCCAATAGAAGAAAACATCCTTTGCATGGAGAAACACCGTCAGCGTATGGAGTTGTTTCGCATTGGTGATATGAGCACATGCAGACAACAACCTTCTAGTGCGAGGCGATTTTCTAGATTCTGCCCTATACTGCTTCTCAGAAGTGATAGCCAGAAAACTTCCATTATAAGGTGAATTTCCCAGCATAACATTTGGAAATGAAAAATAAGTCTGATTTATATTTAGACATAGTTGCTCAATATACTTTCATGACTAAAACACATTGTGTGTGCTGAAACTCGAACTCTCGTGCCACAAACACCTCTTATGTGTCCAAACTTTCTTTTAACTTCACTTCAGTAAAGTTTGCTTTTCTTTCTTAAAAAGCTATTTGTTGGTCGTACTGCAACAATCTTGTCATATCTCCTTTGCTGGTCTAACCTCTTGGGAGAATGGACATTCATAGTTCACTCACCATTGAGTCTCGTAAATCCGTTTATATAAGAAAATGAGGCAATTGCACTTCATGTTTTGATATGGATTCCCTTGATTTGTAACAATCAAGCAATTGTGTTCTTATATGGTGAATACCTCATAACTGTTCTTTTAAATCTCTCTTCAGATGGTCTATTATTCTTCCACTGTCTTGGATCAAGGTCTTTTGGATGGCTATTGTGACCAATGGTGCTCAAGCGATTGGCTTGAGAGAGCAGCACTGGATATCTTGTGAAGTCAGTATGGATGTTCTGCTTTCGCTATGAATTTGAGTCTGACATCGCTTTAAATCCCAATTTATGTTTTTCCTATTTGCAGCTTGGGTTGCCATGCTTTCCAAGGGAATTCCCTGATTGCAGTGCATATGCTTGTTTTATGGCCTTGGAGGAAGCTGCTTATGATAAAAAGTCGGAACTCCGTTCTCCTCATACAAGGACTTGGAAAGTTCCAGTTCCATCTCCATGGGACAGTCTCCGCCTTGCTCTAGAAGGACTCAATGGGGCAGCTCATAGCCGGGTACAACATGAACAACTTTTACCAAATGATATGATCAGAAACATAGCAATGAATAATCCATACCTGAGAAGTTGCAAATCAGAAACAGAGAGTAGTTGTAGTGCTCCATTCGAGGGATTTGTGGCTAGGACATGTAATGTGCTGGCTCAGTTTTTGGATGAGATCAAAGCTAGCCATCTACTTTTATTTCCGAAAGTGCTTCACAGTAAGAAGTGCATCGGCAAATTTATGAAGGACGAAAAGATTCTCAATGAGGATGCAGATGGGGTCATTTACCAGATAAATCAGGACCAAAAATTGTGTTTGGTCAGAGTTCTTTTGCATGCCTACAGAGAAGGTTCTTTCGAAGAAGGAGCAGTTGTTTGTGCACCTCACATTGATGATGTAATGTTGTGGACAACCAGGTGACATTTGTTATCCATGTTGTATTGAGTTATTTGCTTTCCCTGTCCATTTACTTGTACTTATTTGTTGCTGATAGAGCTTGTATCCAGCAGTTTGAGAATTTCATATGATACACAAAGAAAATGCAGGACTAAGCCCACTGCTAAATGGCAATGTTTTGAGAACAAACATTTTGGCAGATTACTCTTGACCTCATATGTGATGACTCCGTGAACTTCACCCTAACACTGTCCACTATACTAGAGCCTACTTTTGAGAGAGAGTATTTAAAATCATTTCAACAATTGTGCCATAGTTATGCAGGAATTAATTATGCAGATAAGTAATGCAGGAATTAGTTATGCAGTGATTAGTTATGCAGGGATTATTTCTTTGGATCAATGGTTTTTTTTTTTTTTTTTTT